GGGCTGTGGTACCCAGAGTTGGCATGGAGGGGGGTCAGCAGGTGACGCAGGGCCCTGCCAGGAGGAAAAAGTTCTCACTGAAGATCTAGACAAAAGTCAACTGTGTGAAACATCCAGAAGTGTTTGCCTGCCTCTAGGGGAGTTCTGAGCTGGTCTGGGGACAGCGGCCTAGGGGAGCCCCTCCCTCAGTCTCCTGGGGTGGCCTGAACAGACTGCCCCGAACGCCTTGGCTTAAAACAGCAGACATCTATTCTCTCCCAGCCCTGGATCCAGAATCGATTCCACTTGGCTGAAATCGAGGCATTAGGAAGGGCTTGCTCCCTCCGAAGGCTCCAGGGAGCATCCTTCCTGCCTCTCCTAGGTTTTGTTCCTGGGCTTTGGCCACATCGCTTCAGCCTCTGCCTTTGTCTTCACGTGGGCTTCCCTCTGTGCGTCTCCATCTGGTTTTCTGTCTTGGGTCTCTCTCTCCTGCTCTGTACTAACATCTGTCACTAGGTTTAGGGCCTGCCTGGATCATTAGGTCTCATCATCTCGTGGTACTCAGTTACCTCTGCATGGACCTTTTCTCTGAATAAGGTCACGGTCACAGAGTCAGGGGTTGGGGAGTGGACATGCCTTTTGGGGGCCGCCATTCAGCCTATTCTGGGGACCCTGGGTTGCAGCATCTCCAGGGGTCAGGTGTCTGTGTTCTGTGTGCCCCTTGCCTGGGGAATGTCAGCATGCTCTTCTGTTTCATGGCAAACCTGATTGGTGATCCAAGTGTATTCCTTTGGCCTTTTGTGTGTTGTCTCCTATTGTAATTGAAAATGTGAATGGCAACAATTCAATGTGTGTGTGTTTTTGTTTTTTTTCTTTTTTACAGTTTGCATGAAATCAAACCCACTTTGGCAGGATAAGACACTTTAAAGTAACAGATCTGATCTCACCCACTAAATTTCACAGACAGGAGGAGGTTTGTCATGTTGATGGATGAAATACCGCTCTTGCTCTGCCCACCTGCTTGGCTGCACCTGGCCTTGTCCTTGAGCTGGGGGTGCGGGTTGGGAGTGTGGGCTTAGGGAAGGTCTTGTTTTCAGGCATTGCCCTGGCCTGTTGGGAGAGAGTACAGACTAATAAAGGGCCAGTGGATTGCCACCAAGCCGTTGTCCCACTGAAGGAGTGAGCCATAACTCACTGACCTTCCCTTCTTGTTAGAGATGTTGAAACAAAGTGGGGAAAGTGGCTATTTGTTTATCTGACATCTGCTTCACACAGAGAAACACTGTATAGACCGAGGATAAGAAAATCAACAGAAAGCGTGAAACTAGGAAGCTGGGGATTGGTTGCTGCTTTTGAGAGGTTAAGCCAGAAGGGCCTGGCACAAATAGCATGAAACTGGGGGCATGTGTTTTATTTTAACTTTGATCCTGTAGTAAACTTATGAATTTGGGGGAGATGGCTATTTATAGTAAAGTAGTATAGGTATCACTGAGTCCTTACAGTTTTTTTTCTGGCCAGTTTTGTGAATACATTTAGTATTTTTATTTTTAATATAATTGTGATGCTATTCCTTAATTTGGCTTTTAAACTTATTTTCCTTTATTTATTTGGCTGCATCAGGTCTAAGTTGCGGCACATGGGATTATCGATTTTCGTTGCAGCCTGCAGGACTTCAGTTGTGGCAGGTGGGATCTAGTTCCCTGACCAGGGATCAAACCTGGGCCCCCCTGCATTGGTAGCGTGGCGTCTTAGCCATTAGACCACCAGGGAAGCCCCTATCATTTATTTTTTAAAAAGCAGTGGATATTTTTTAGCAGTTTTTCGCTGATAACACTGTGGTTGCTTAGGGCTGTTTTATTCTGTCTCCCGGCTGAGGGATGGAAAGGGCGGGTGCCCTCTGTATATTTGACAGACACCAGAAGTACATATTTGACACTGGAGGTGCAGCAGACAGACTCACGCTTAGGATTCTTGGTTGGTTCTTGGCTTGTATTTCCAGGATGTGGATTTTTGCTCATTGAATTGACCCAAACCCCTGCTCAGCCCTGTGACTGTGCAGAACACAGCGGTATCCTCACCCGTGGTCTGAAATGGGTTTGGCTCCAGTAAAGGATCAGAAGAGGCTGAAGCGGTCCGTTTGAGGTCCGTTTACGAGGGGACCTCAGGAAAGAGAGGTTAATTCACAACCAGACACCGATTCTGGATGTTCCCCACGTGGATACAAAGGATGTGATGTGACGGGCCATCATCTGGAGCAGTCTTTAAAGACCGACTCGGATGAAACTTGAACTTCCTGTTCTCTCCACCCCGTTGCTTAGTTCCCTAAGGATGGAACCCACACCCCTGGCAGTGGAAGTGTGGAGCTCTAACCTCTGAACCACCAGGGAAGTCCCAGCGCTTCCTGTTCCCTATTGTGTGCACACACCCCCTGCTGAGGTCTCACCCAGTTGACCATCAATTCATTTGTGTTGGATTCCAGCCAGAGTCCTTGGGTGTGTATGTGAGATCTGCCTTCCACCTGAGTGCGCTCAAGTCCTGGCTGTGACAGTGACACACGGCTCACTCGTGTCCAGCCAATCAAGCAGGGTCTGTGGGGAGCCCAGGGCACACTGCTGGAGCCTTCCCGGGCTCCGTGGTCCCAGACACAACTCAGGTCAAAGGATTCCCATTGGCATCGCCTTTCCTTGGGGACCCTGCTCTGCACCATTGCAGACAAGCCTTGGCTTCCACTCCTTCTGAGAGTCTGAGACCGCCTCCTTGCAGGTTGTCTGCTTCCCTGTGACCACGGCCTGAGCTGGAGGGCTGCTGGGTTAGCTCACGTGGTTGGTGGTCAAGAGGGATGGAGGGCTGTTGGTGAGGAACCATCCAGTCCTTTGCTCTCCTGGTGCCCTGGGGTGTGGAGAGCATCGGGAAGGAAGATGCTGAGTTTGGTACTGATCAGGGTTCTTGGCCTTTCCCGATCAATAGAAATTGATTGGAGGCCAGACAGGAAATCCAGGCAAAGCATTATTGGGATTCTGGTTAGTTGCAGGGGCGTGAGAACAAGCAACAAGTTCTCTTGCTTGTTCCCCAAGGACCGGGTGAGCTGGTTCCTTTTATGGGGTGAGGGTCGAGCAGGTCTAGGGGTTGGGCTGGAGTGGCTTAGGTGGTTTGCTCACCCCTTGGTGGTGTTGTGTGCAAGGGGTGTGAGTACTCTGTTTTTGCTCCTGGCTTTTTGCAAGTGGCAGTTGGGTTTTTGGTCTTTTTGTATCTTGTTCATAATTTGCCCCAACCGTGCATGCATGAAGCTATTTTTTAGTCCCTTATAGTTTCTTTGTATTTTGTTGCTGGAGGAGAGGTGTGTCCAGGTGCAAGCACTGCAGCCAAGGGTCTCAAGTCCCAGGTCCCAGGCCTCAGCCTTCTCACGACCGTGTTCCATTTCACACCTGCTGCCTTCAGGTGGCTTCTCCCCCACATCCCCAGGGAGGCTGGGAATCTGGGGTGGAGGTAGGTGTGACTGCTGCCCTGAGTCTGGGCTGTCAGTCTGACTTCAGTTGATGCCACTGGGCTCTTGGGGTGGAAAGCACTGTTCTGGGCTCCTGTCTCAGCTGCTGTTGTCGTGTGTCTGGTGGCCTCTGGTCGGGAAATGGCTTTCCTGGGGGTGACGATGTGTCTCCTGCCAGGGAATGAGCCAGTTCTCTGGAGCTGCCTTAAGGGGGTAGATCATGAGTCTCATGGCCCAGCCGAGCAGGAATGTCAGGACCTGACCAGGACCCACTCCAAGTTCCATTTTATTCTTGTTTCCTTTTGAATAATGGATGAAAGTGGTTTCTTTAAAATACCACCTACTCAAGCCTGGAAACCATATTTGTGAAAATGGACTTGTCTGAAGGTGGAGGCTAATTATGGGGAGGGGGGTCCTAGTGTTGTCCTCCCTTTCATCTGGCCAGTGATAGAGGCAGTGAAAGAAGGTGCAGCATGAAACATTTGGCCTGGGTAATTTCCTAGTTACATATAAGTTACATATAAGCTACGTATATAGAACATACAATGAGGAGCTGAAACTTTGCTGGAGAAAATGTGTGCTAAAACCCTAAATTGAATGTGAATGTATATTCTTCATTATTTTATGAGTGTCTCATTACTAACACAAAGTGCCACTCCTGGTGTTTTATTCATGGATCTGGGTGGATGTTAAAGTGCAGAGTGTTTGAAAACCTGCAGAAGATGTGGTACATGTATCTAATGGAATATTACTCAGTTGGTAAAAGGAACGAAATTAGGTCATTTGTAGAGATGTGGATGGACCCAGAGTCTGTCATACAGAGTGCAGTAAGTCAGAAAGAAAAACAAATATCAAATATTAATGCGTATATGTGGAATCTAGAAAAAGGGTCCAGATGAACCTATTTGCAAAGCAGAAATAGAGATGCAGACTAGAGAATGGACATGTGGACACTTTTGGGGGAAGGAGAGGATGGGACAAACTGGGAGAGTAGCGTTGACATATGTACACCCCTATGTGTAAAATACACAGCTAGTGCGAACTTGTTGTAAAGCACAGGACGCTCAGCTCAGTGTGAGCTCTGTGATGACCTACAGGTGTGGGATGGGGAGAGGGGAGGGAGGCTCTAGAGGGAAGGGCTGTATGTATACATGTAGCTGATTCACTTTGTTGTACATCAGAAACTAACTCGACATTGTAAAGAAACTATATTCCCAAAACAAAGGGAGAAAAGGAAATCTGCGTAAAGATCCTATGGAAGAGGAGGAATCATAAAGGCAGTGTTGGTCTTCAGGAGGGTCCTGGTTAGACTGGGGTGGGGGTGGGGAGCGTCTCAGAATCAGAGGCTGGCTTCCTGCCCCCTCTGAGCCACCGACATGGTGCCACATCCTCCTCTATGGTGGGCCTTCTTTTGTGATGACCCCCTGCCTTGCTATGCTGCCCTGTGATGAGATTGTCCCAGGAAAGCACTGTTGATTCCCCCACCCACGTGGGCTTGGTGACAACCTATGACCCATGTGCTTTGTTTCTGTTCCAGGCAGCTTCACTCACCTCCTTGTCCAGCCTGGCATGTATGCACATGGTTCGCTGGGCTGTCTGGAACCCCTCGCTGGAAGCCATCTCCGGGCGGGTGATGTTACCTCTCCAGGGTGGCATCCAATCCAACCCTTCGCACTGTCTGGTCTATAAGGTTCCCCCAGCCAGCAAGAGCTCCGAAGAGGTAAATGTTAGAGACCCCATAAGTGTGACTGCTTTCTACATGCTTCTAGCAAGTTCATGCATTTTCAACACTAGAGCTGACAAATAACGTTTGCTGGTGTTTCATGAGCAGTATTTTTTCAGGTCACAGATTTGCCCTTAAAAACTAAGTGTGACTGCTGAGTCATAATCAGAAATACACATTACCATGTGTAAAATAGATAGCCAGTGGGAATTTGCTGTAGGATACAGGGAGCTTAAACCCGGTGCTCTGTGACAACCTGGAGGGGTGGGATGGGATGGGAGGTGGGAGGAGGGGTTCAAGAGAGAGGGGATATAGGTATACCTATAGCTGATTCATGTTGATGTATGGCAGAAACCAACATAGTATTGTAAAGCAGTTATCCTTTGATTAAAAACAAATTAAAAAAATAATGACTAAAAAATGATGACTGGATAAAGGAAAAAATTAAAAAAAAGAGAAAATATTAGTGTGACTGCTGAATTATAAGCGGTTTTGATCTCCCTGAAGGTGGTGTTATCTGGGGTCTTATTATGTCCCTGCTTATGTATCCATTTCTCAAGGTGGCCTGTGCCTCTTATTTTTACACAGAGAGCCACGAGATGCACTTCTGTGCTTTTTAAAATGCCATAAAAGACATTATTTTTTATTGAAATACAGTTTAATCACAGTGTTGTGTTAATTACTGCCATACAACAAAGTGACTTGGTTACACATATATATACATTCTTTTGCACATTCTTTTCCACTGTGGTTTATCACAGAATATTGAATATAGTTCCCTGTGCTATTCAGTAGGACCTTGTTGTTTATCCATTTCATATGTATCAGTTTGCATCTGCTAACCCTAAACCCCCAATCCTTCCCTCCCCCACCCCCCACCAATCACAAGTCTGTTCTCTATGTTTGTGATTTTGTTTCATAGAAAAGTTCATTTGTGTCATATTTTAGATTCCACATATAAGTGATATCATATGGTATTTGTCTTACTCTTTCTGTCTTACTTCACTTAGTATGATAATCTCTAATTGCATCCATGTTATAGCAAATGGTGTTATTTCATTCTTTTTCAAGGCTGAGTAGTATTCCACTGTGTATATGTACCACGTCGTCTTTATCCATACTTCTGTGGTTGGACATTTAGGTTGTTTCTATGTCCTGGCTATTGTGAATAGTGCTGCTGTGAACGTAGGGATACATGTATCTATTTGAATTACAGTTTTTTCCATATGTTTGCCCAGGAGTGGAATTGCTGGATCATATAATAATTCTATTTTTAGCTTTCTGAGGCACCTCTGTACTGTTTTCCACAGTGGCTCCATCAGCTTTCATTCCCACCAGCCATAGAGGAGGGTTCCCTTATAAAAAAGCCCTCTTGAAATGTGTGTACACTGGGGGCTGCATCTTGTGTGCACAAGGCTGGAGTGGGAGCTGGGCAGTTGGCATCTCCCTAGCTGGTCTTTGTGGCTCATCACTTATCCTCACTTGACCTCGACTCTCTAGCTGTGTTCAGAGAGGAGGCACCACAGCAGAACTTATATAAATCCATTTTGAAATGAAGCTTTCTCTGATGCCCACTGTAGAAAGCAAACAAAAGTGGGGCAGGGCCGGTGGAAGCATGTTTGTGTGTGGGTCTCACCTCATGGGCTCTCCTGACCTGTTGGCAGTCCTACAGGGTGGGGAGCAGGGACCCCGAGACACAGATGCCGTGTGACATCCCTGCTCTGGCTGACGTCTGGGTCCTTCTGACACTAATGGGTTGTGGCAGGGTTTCTGCTGTTTTATTCTTCTGCTGACATTATTGAGATATGCCTGTCCTGTCTCAGCAGATCAAATGGGAGCCTTCTAGGACTCAATTGGCTCATTTTTCTTGGGTAAAAGGACCATACCTGTTATTTCAGTATGTCATTCGTGTGCTGACTCCAGTGACAAGCATCATATTCAGTGCTATTATTTATGGTGTGGATTATACCTTGGGAACCTAAATCAGCGAGCAGCTGATCATGCAGCTTCTCTTATTATAAGGAATGTCTCTCATTATAGGACTACATTTCACTGCATTCCCACATGGTCTGGCTTCAGCCCTTGTTATAAACTTGCCATTAGAAATCCTGAAGCTATTGCCGTATTCTCATTCTCTCTTCCTGTGTATGTACCTATGTAAATAAATCCTTATTCTGTTTAATTTTTGCCTTCTCATGTCCACTACATTTCCTTTGCTTTTTAAGTGTGTAAACTATATTGGAACATAAGTGTTGTGAAGGTTGGACCATCTCCAAGTCATCAAATACCATCGTCTTCCATGAGGAATATCACTTCTAATCAGGGTTTCTCCACTCAGCACTGGCAGCACTTGGGGCCAGACTGTTCTTTGCTGTGGGTCTGTCCCAAGCACTGCCCTGGAGGATGTTGAACTGCATTGCTGGCCTCTACCCACTAGAGGCAGTAGTGCACCCCCACCCCAGTTATCAGAGCCCAGATGTTCATAGACATGGCTGAATGTGTTCTTCTGTGGGCACAATTGCCCCCGGTTGAGGACCACTACTGTAAACAGATATTATTAACTAAAATAATAAACTGCCACTGATCACAAACTCTATTCATTCTCCTGCTTTCTAAAGGCGCTGTTTTGCGTCTTCCTGCTTTTCATCTCATGTAGTAGTGAGTTACCACATCAGAAGGGTGGACTCCTAGGTAAGCCTGGTCTCTGCCTGGGCACCAGTCAATTCTTTATCTTATTTATTCACTCAGTGAATTTTTACTGAGCACCTATATCTACTCTAGGAAAACTCTCTAATCCTGTGGAACTCATAGTTCCAGGACTGACAGATATTAATCATAAGAAAAAAGATACATATTATAAACATCCCATAATTTTTTTACTAAGTAAATTTTGGGGTTTATGTTATTAAGATTATTTCAATGTTATTTACTGTGAAGGTAAGTAGTGTATTATGTTTATGTTTTCCTTCTTAAACAGCTCCTGTATTCTTCCCGCAAACAAATAATCGTCTTTAAAAAAAGTTAATATCTCCAGAGGTAGCCAGTTTCAACTCTGAGCTGTGACATATGGCATTTACCTTGTTTTCTAAATAATATGTGTCTACTGCTACTTCTTGGTTTATCAATTTTAGAAATTGTATACTGACTTATAATAATGATAGATGAGAACATAAGCTCTTTTATACAGTCTTGCATTTAAAAAGCAACCACACTCCGCCCTCTCCCCACTTCCTTGCTCTGCTTGGCCTTGCATTCAGGTACTATTGCCAGAGTCTTGCAGCCCAGTGGGGTCTTACCAGAGCATTGGAAGGGGAACCCTTGAGAATTGAAAAGAACTAGTGGGATCTGAAGTCCCTTGGACTGCAAAGAGATCAAACCAGTCAATCCTAAAGAAAATCAACTTGAATGTTCATTGGAAGGACTGATGCCAAAACTGAAGCTCTAATACTTTGGCCACCTGCTGTGAAGAGCCAGCTCATTGGAGAAGACTCTGATGCTGGGAAAGATTGAAGGCGAAAGGAGAAGGGAGTGGCAGAGGATGAGATGGTTAGATAGCACCACCAGCTCACTGGACATGGATTTGAGCAGACTCTGGGAGATAGTGAGACGGGGAAGCCTGGTGTGCTGCAGTCCATGGGTTTGCAAAGAGCTGAACATGACTTAGTGACTGAACAACAACAATGACGACAAGGGGGATCTGGAGAGGGAGGATCTTGGAAAGTCCCCTGTAAAGTTGTTTAGAAATGCTAAGTTAACCTTCAGCTTCATGTGCCTGAATCTGACCCTAACAACGTATGGCAGACTTTGAGAACTGGACTGTGGACGGAGTTGCCCCTGCATGCGTCACGGCTAGGAGAGGACTGAGGAGCCCTGCCCAGGTTTTGAGAATGTGACTGATATTGAGACCACAGGAGGTTGCTTGGAAACTGGGGCTTGAACCCAACTGGGTGATTTGTGACCCAACAAAAATATCAACATTCTCCATAAACTTTAAAAGAGATTCTTATAATGTGATATTTAAAAGAGAATCGTATAAAGTGATATTCAGAATGTCCATGACACAGTGTATACTTAATTGACATACAAAAGACCAGGAAAACCTCACCTTGCAGGGGAAAGACATTCAACAGCAGTGATACTGAGACGACACAAATGTTGGAATTATCAGACAAAGCCTTTAAAACAGGCATTATAAACATAATCCAATAAATAAGAGTGAACACTTTTGAAACAAAGGGAAAGATAGAAGGTCTCAGCAAAGAGGTAGATAAAGAAGAAGCAAATGGAAGTTTTAGAACTGAAAAATAAAATTGCAAAAATAAAGTACTCACTAGGTGGACGCAATAGCAGAATGGATATGACTGAAGGATCAATGAATTTGAAGATGAATCGGTGGAATTTATTCAACTTGAGCCACAGAACGTTGATTGGAGGAGAGTGGAAGAAGCCTCAGGGACCTGTGGGGTAGGACCACAAAGGGTAACACCCATGTCATCAGAGTCCCAGTAGGAGAGAAAGAGTACAGTACAGAAAAAAATGTCTGAAGAAATGATGGCTGAAAACTCAAATTCGGCAAAAGACTTAAACCTGCAGATCGAAGAGGTCCAAAACCCAGAGATAAATGCAAAGAAATCCACACTCGGACATATCACAATCGAGCTGCTGAAAAAGACAAAGTCTTGAAGACAGCAGTAGAAAAATGATGCATTACTTATAGAGAAACAATAGTTTGAATATTGTGGGTTCTTTGCAGGAACCATGGAGGCAGAAGGAAATGGAACAACATGTTAAAAGCACTAAGAGAAAGACCCCAGAACTCAGAATTCTATTCCAGCAACTGTCCTACAGGAATGAAGGTTAAATAAAGACATCCTCAGATAAACTAAAACTGAGAGAATTCATTGGCAGGTAGAGATGCTCTAAGAGAATTGCTAAAGGAATTTCTTTAGACAGAAGAAAAATTATACCAGATGGAAACTTGGTACATCAGGAATGAAGAAAGAGCAACAAAAATGATGAATAGAATACACTATTCTCCTTCTTTTGAGTTCTTTAAAATGGGTTTGATGGCTGAAGCAAAAATCATAACTCTGTCTGTTAGGATTTTTAAGGTACGTAGGTATAATAGGTAAGATAGCTATAAAATAAAGGGGAATATAAAGAGACCCATAGGGTGATAAAATTTCTACATTCCACTTGAAGTAATAAAATATAGATTTTTGGGTAGATTTTGAAAAAATTATTTACATTGTAAACCCTAGAGCAGTCACTAAAAATAAGCTACCAAGAGATAGTAAGAAACCCAATAGATAGATAAAATGGAATAATTCAAAATAAGGCAGGAAAGGGAAACAGGAATGAGAAACAGAAGGAACAAATCATAATAAAATGACGGTCCTGAACCCAGACCCACCAATAATTACATGAAGTGTAAATAGGCTGCACGCATCAAATTCAAGGAGAAATTTTCAGGTGACATGAAAATCTCAAGGTCCAACTATGTGCTATCTGTCAAGAACTCACTTCAAAAGCAAAAGGATGGCAAAACATTGTGTGCAAACACGAATCAAAAGAAAACTCGAGTAGCTATATTAATACCAGGCAAAGTAGACTTCAGAGCAAAGGAAATTTCCAGGAATTAAGGGGGATGTCACCTGTGATAAAAGAGTCAATTCACCACAAAGACATATAAACCTAAAAGTGTATGTATCTAACACAGAGGTTCAAAATGCAAAGAGCTAATAGAATGGAAAGAAGAAATAGACAAATTCACAGTTGCATTTGGAGATTTCAGCACTCCTCTTAGATTAAACTATAAGCACACTGATAGAAAATCATCAGTATATAAAACTGAACAGTATTGTGAAGCACCTGGATCTAAATGACCTTCATAGAACTGTCCACCCAGCAATGTCAGGATATATTCTCTTCATATTCTCTTCAAGTGCACATGGAACATTTACCAAGAAAGACCATAGCCTGGATCAGAAAACAAATTTTAGTAATTTTAAAAGAATTTAATTTACACAAGGTATTTTCTGTGGTCACAATGGAATTAAACTAGAAGCCAATAACAAAGATAGCATAAAAAACTATAAATACTTGGAAATTAATGCATTTCTAAATAATCTGTAAGTCAGAGATGAAGCCTTAAGAAAATATAAAAGATACTTTGAACTGAACAAAAGTGAAAATATGACATATCAAAATTTGTAGGTTGCAGCTCAAGTTTATTTACAGGGAATTTATAGCATTAAGTGCTTATATAAGAACAGAAAACAGTCTCAAATCAATAATCTGATCATCCACTTTTAGAAAGTAGAAAAAGAAGCAGAAAATAAACCTAAGGCAAGTAAAAGAAAAATCAATAATAAATATAAGTGCAGAAACCAATATAACTGAAAACAGAAAAACAATAGAGGAAAAACTAGAGAAAGCCAGTGAAATAAAAAACTGGTTCTTTGACAAGCCTCTAACAAGACTGAAAAAGTAAAGAGAGAAAACAAATGACTAATAATAGGAATGGAAGAAAGGATAACCACTACAGACCACACAGGTATGAGAAGGATGTTAGGGGAAATACTATAAATTTGAAAATTTAGATGAAATGGACCAGTTTGTCTTAAACAGCAAACCATCAAAACTTACCCAAGATGAAGTGCATAACTTGAGTAGTCCTATAACTTTATAGACAATGAATTCATCATTAATTTTTTTTTGATAAAGAAATATCCTGGCCTGTTCACTATAATATGTAATATAGAGGGCTTCCCTGGTGGCTCAGATGGTAAAGAATCTACCTGAAACGTGGGAGACCTGGGTTCAATCGCTGGGTTGTGAAGATCTGGAAAAGGGAACTGCAACCCACTCCAGTATTCTTGCTTGGAGAATTCCATGGACAGAGGAGCCTGGCAGGCCATAGTCCATGGGGTCGCAAAGAGTTGGATACTACTGAGTGGCTTTCACTTTCATTCACTATAAATTGTACTAAACATTTAAAGGAAAAACAACACCAATTGTATAGATTCTCTTCTTGAAAATAGGATAGGTGGGAACAATTCCACATTTATGTAACAAGGCCTTCATTATCCTGATATCAAAACCAGAAGAAGACAATATAAGAAAAGAAAATCATAGATGCATTTTCCTCATGAACTCAGATGAAAAATGCTCAACAAAATATTAGTAAATTGAATCCAACAGTATAAGTGAGTGAAGTCACTCAGTCATGTCCGACTCTTTGCGACCCCATGGACTGTAGCCTGCCAGGCTCCTCCGTCCATGGGATTTTCCAGGCAGGAATACTGGAGTGGGTTGCCATTTCCTTCTCCAGGAGATCGTCTCAACCCAGGGATTGAACCCAGGCCTCCCACATTGTAGGCAGGTGCTTTACCATCTGAGCCACCAGGGAAGTCCATCCAACAGTATAGAAGAAGAATAATACACCGTGACCAAGTAGGGGATTATCTCAGGGATGCAAGGCTATTTTCTTTTGGAAAATGTAATTCACTCTAATAGCCTAAAGAAGGATAACCGTATGAATAACAACAACTGATGCAGGCAAAGCATTTGACAAAATTCACATCTATTTATGACAAAAACTGAGCAAACAGGAATAAAGACGAACTTCCTCAGCTTGATCAATAGTATCTACAAAAATTCTTTAGCTAGCATCATGCTTAATGGTGAAAAATCGAATGCTTTCCCTCTTACTTAGGCCAGGAACAAGTGAAGAATGCCCACTCATAGTGTTCAGCATCTTATTTGACATTGCATGGGAAGTTCTAGCTGGTACAATAGAGGAATAAAACAAAATAAAAAAACAATCCATAGAGATTGGAAGGAAAGGAACAAAACTCTTCTTATGTGCAAACAGTATGATTTTCTATGTAGGAAATCTCGAAGGATTTATAAAAAACTCCCAGAATAAACAGTAAGTTTAGGGAGATTGTAGTATACTGCAGGAGGTCAAGATGGAAAATCAGTGGCATTTCTTTATACTAACAAAATAAATACAATTGGGAAGTAAAATCTAAAAAGCAGTATTATTTCCAAAGCACCCTCACCTCAATGAAATCAATCTAACAAAATATGTACAGGATTTGTGTGCCGAAAATGATAAAACATTCCTTTTGCTGCATGTCATTTTTCTCATTGATTACTCTTAGGTGAATCAAAGAAGACCTAAATAAATGGAGGGTCTTCTTTATGGATCGAAAGACTCACATGATTAAGATAAAAATTCTCTCCAAATTGATCTATAGATCTAATACAATTTCAATCAGAACCCTTACATAATTTTTTAATAAATAGAGACAAGCTGATTGTAAACTTTAGTTAATTTTTGGCTGCACTGGGTCTTTGTTGCTGCACACGGGCTTTCTCTAGTTGTGGTGAGGAGGGGCTACTTTCTAGTTTCAGGGTGCAGGCTCAGCAGTTGTGGTGCATGGACTTAGTTGCCTGTTGGCATGTGGGATCTTCCTGGACCAGGGATGATCGAACCCACGTCCTCTACATTGGCAGGTGGATTCTTAACCGCTCGACCACCAGGGAAGCCCCTGATTCTCAACTTTATATAGAAAAGCAAAGGAATTAGAAGGGTTAAAACAATTTTGAAAAGAACAGTTAAGTTGGAAGATTCATGCTACACAATTTCAACACTTTCATTAAAGCTGTGGTAATCAAGATAAAGTGCTGGTGGTAAAAGCATTGGCACATAGACTAATGGAATGGGATACAGAGTTCAGAAGTAAGTCACAGTTTAGCAGTTTCCTGTAAAATGTAGTATACATGCACCACAAGACCCAGCAATCTTACTCTTAGAGAAATGAAACATGGAGAAATGAAAACTTATGTCCATGCAGAAATACGTACACCAGTGTTCCCAGCAACTCTATTTATAACCACTCAAGCTGGAAACAGCCCATATGTTCTAAGTGGGTGAATGGATAAGTATGCTGAGGCACATGGTACAATAGAAAACTGTTTGGTAATGAAAAAGAACGGCTGTGCTTACACGGTACTGCTCAGATGAGTCTCATCCGCCTACCAGGGAGTGAAAAAAGCCAGTCTCAAGGATTCTGTAGCATGAGACCCTGTAGATAGGACCGAAGACAGGGGTGGAGAGCAGTTCAGTGATTGTTGGGTGTGGGTATGCACAGGATGGGTGAGCGTTTTAGGTGGGGGGGCTGCTCTGTACCTGGTGCTGGTGGTGGTTACATGTGTTTAAACTCAAAATAAGAAGAGTCAGCATAACATAGGTTAAGTAAAAATGCATTCAAACTGGAGCAATGGTGTTGATTTCTGCTTGGCTGAGGGTAATCCACACTGATTGTTTAGGATTGGGCGGATGTTCCTGGTTGAATTATTCTGACCACACAGTGCTGATGGAGGGAGCGTGGCCATCACTTCTCTTGTTGTGGTCCATCATAGGTGAAGCAGGTGGAGTCAGGGACGGTCCAGTTCCAGTACTTGCTGAGCCCTGAAGAACACCCGGACATACCCACAGGGAATGCAAGTGGCCCCAAGGCAGAGCGGCGGTCTTTTAGGAAGCCACCTGCGTCCCCTTCAAGTAAGTGTGTGCTGAGAGCTGAGTCTTCAAGCTCACAGCACAGCTCCATGTGTGCCCGGGTAAATGACATTTATCAGATACTTGCTGTAAATTGCTTTAACTGGAATCAGTTGATTGAGTTTTTGCTGACTACAGAGGTATAGAATTGGACAGTGATAAAGCCTGGCCCAACACTTTGTGCTTTAGCCATGAGTTAGCTCCCTGACTGAAGGCTTTGAAAGGTCTGTTGGTGACACTTAAAGGGGCATCTCTCATGGATGTCCTGCAGACACAAGGCTCAAGAATCAAAGGCTGGCTGACAGCCACAGACTGCCAGCTTTATGGTTTTTGTTCAGTTGCTAAGTCATATCAGTCGCTAAGACTGTATACAACTCCATGGACTATAGCATGCCAGACTCCTCTGTCCTTCACTATCTTCCAGAGTTTGCTCACATTCATGTCCCTTGAATTGGTGATGCTATCTAACCATCTCATCCTCTGCCACCTCCTTCTCCTCCTGCCTTCAATCTTTCCCAGGATCAAGGTCTTTTCCAGTGAGTCAGCTCTTTACATCAGGTGGCCAAAGGATTGGAGCTTCAACTTCAGCATCAGTCCTTCTAATGAATATTCAGGGTTGATTTCCTTTAGGATTGACTGGTTTGATCTCCTTGCAGTCCAAGGGACTCTCAAGGGTCATCTCTAGCACCACAGTTTGAAAGCATCAATTCTTTGGTGCTCAGCCTTCTTTGTGGTCCAGCTGTCACATCTGTATATGACTACTGGAAAAACCATAGCTTTGACTAGATGGACCTTTGTTGGCCAAGTGATGTCTGCTTTTTAATATGCTGTCCATGGAGTTGCAAAGAGTCAGACATGACTAAACAGCTAACACACACACACATATAAGTGATACTGAAATGTACAGCATTGCTTGTACTTGAGAAATATCTGCCATAATATCAGCCAGAATCCCCTGGAGTGGTGGGTGGCAGGCATGTGTTTTCTACCGGAGTTAGTTTAGAATGAATTTACAATTTTATTGGATAAAGTTAAATGCATTGAAAGTATAGAATACATAGTTAAAAAATACCAAAAGGTCAAACCCATTCCCTTTTTTAACTCTAGTATCTTCCTTTCTTTGACCTATTCACAATTACATTTTAAAAATAAAACAAAGGCCAACCTCTAAGAAATGTTAGTATGAAAGAAAGATAGTATCCGAAATTATAAAATATGTGTATTTTCTAATTTGATATAAACATTATTCTGGTTTTTAATTAAGCTATTCAAAAGGATAATGTGTGCTGTGCATGCTAAGTCACTTCAGTTGTGTCCAGCTTTTTGTGGCCCTATGGACTGTAGTCCGCCAGGCTCCTCTGTCCATGGGATTCTCCAGGCAATAATACTGGAGTGAGTTTCTATGCCCTCCTCCAGGGGATTTTCCCGACCCAAGGATCGAACTCAAGTCTGTTACATCTCCTTTGTTGGCAGGCAGGTTCTTTACCACTAGCCACTTGAGAAGCTTGGGCAGTAGTGAAATGTAATAAACGCAGTTCAAAATAACAAATATAGTTTACTGTGGTCCTTAGAAATACCTGAAGAGATCATTTTCTTAGATCTACAGCTATCGTTAATGGAAAAATAACAAGTACTTTTTCTGGAAAGGAATTTTCACGTGTAGTTGTGACACTTTGGTGCAGTTATGACACTGTAAACAGACAGCTTGTGTGAAGGCCTTCTAATCGAATTAACTGTCAGCCAGGACAGGATGAGCCTGTTGGCTTCTCCAGCCTGACCGACTGTCGGCATGGCCTGTGGGCTCTGTGTTTGCGTTCCCAGCTGCCCCGTCTGTTTTCATGCGGGGCTTGGAGGAGATATATTTATTATTATTTAAAATATTTATTTTTATTTATTTATTTGGCAGCACTGGGTCTTAGTTGCAGCATGCGGGATCTAGTTCCTTGACCAGGGTTCGAACCTGGGCCCCTTGCATTGGGAACATCGACTTCCAGAGAAGTCCCTTGGAGGAGATTGAAAGCCTAGTGTGCTGCTACCTTTGTTTCCCAAAATGGTCCTTTAACTAATTTTGGTGGTGTTCATGGAACTTCTTGGAGCTCTGTTTCTTTTTAAATCGAAGTTGGAACAATTTTGATCATTCCTTCTCTGATTATTTTCTCTGTCTTCCTCTCTCTTCTCCCTCCAGGCTCCCGGTCTGGCCTTTATCAGGTGGTAGAGCTGTGGGAAGCCCCACCCTGCTGAGCTTCTGCTCAATTTTACTGGTGGTCTTTTCTCTCTGCGCTCCAATCCGAGATACTTTGTATTGCTGCGTCTTCAGGTTCACTCTTCTTTTCTTCTGCAGCCTCTGATCTGCCATGAATCCCACCCAGTGCATTTTCCTCACAGATATTGTCGTTTTCATCTCCAGAAGTGAAATATAGGTATAACTACTGACAAACTTATGCTTTTGTGTTTCTCTCCTAAGGTGGCAGAGGTAGATGAACTTTAGACCTGTGCAACAATTTAAAATTAAAATTCCAGTATTTTATCCTGTTTGAAATGACCCATATAGTAATTCTCATTTTAACCTAGTTTAGTTTCAAGGTACCAGACTCTGGAGATAACATTGCAAAGTTTGTCATTACTTTAATGTGCTTGTTTGCCAATTCTAAAATCTAGGTCAGTTGTGCATTAGTTTTGATTAATTGATTTTTGTCCTGATTTGGGTTGTATCTTCCAGCTTCTCTATGGTCATAACTTTTGATTGGATTCCAGATATTGTGAATTTTCTCCTTTTGGTTGCTAAATATTTTTATAGTTGACAAATATATATATATATATATTTTGCCATACCCCATGGCATGTGGGCTCTTAGTTCCCTCTGCAGTGGAAGCTTGGAGTCTTAACCACTGGACATGCAGGGAAGTCCAGGTAGCTGGTAAACACTTTTGAACTTTGGAAATCATTTGGTCATTTAGGGCCTTGCCTTTAAGAGTTGTGAGATGGGACCCCATGAGCATTTAGTCTAGGGCTAATTACTCCTCACTAAGTGAGAAGACCTCCTTCGGTACTTTGCCTGATGGCCTTGAATTATGAAGTTTACCAGTCTGTGAGAATGGCCCCATGTGAGCACAGGGTACTGGCCCCTCTAATTTTGGGGGTGACTCTTTCCCCATCCTTGGGTAGTTTCCCAGTCAGTGACCTGCTGAATCCTAGAGGGACCCTCTATAAGTGGTTGGAATTCCCTCTCTGCACCCCTCTCCTGTCTGTGCTCAGCCCTGCAAACTTCAGTTTCTTTGGTCTCCTTGAACTCTTAGCCTAGCCTTCCAATCAGGGGTCCACTGTGCTCTGTTATTCCCCTTTCCTGCACTGCAATCTGCAAAATCACTCAACATGTTAATTTTGGGACCGTCGGAGGGCTTACTTCTTTGTTTCCAGTTCCTTAGGACCATTTCTTGCTGAATTCCAGTGTCATTAAAACTGCTGTCTTATGTATTTTGTTAGTTAAGTAATTTTTGTTTCAGTCAGGAGAATGAATTTGCTCATAAGTAAAGTTTTTGCCTGCTGTTGACAGTTTCTAGGCTGTTGAAATCCTTCACCCCAGGGGTGATAAGTCCAGTGGTTTCGAAGCTTTTCTTAGCTGCTTTGTGCTGTGTGTGATTCACTGACTGTGTCGTTGCTTCATGATTTTGAGTTTTAGCTCACACCCTCTCCCTAGAAAGCGTCTTCGCTGTGCACTGCATTTATTTTTCTTTTGAGATGTATTCTTTTCTTTTTAAATTAAAAAATTACATATTCAAGAGTGTGTGCTTATGTGTGTATGTGCTTAGTCACTTAGTTGTGTCCAACTCTTTGCGACCCTGTGGAATGTAGCCCACCAGACTCCTCTGTCCATGGGGATTCTCCAGGCAAGAATACTGGAGGGGTAGCCTTTCCCTTCTCCAGGGGATCTTCGCAACCCAGGGATCGAACCTGGGTCTCTGCATTGTGGGCAGATTCTTTACCCCTGAGCCACCAGGTAAGTCCATTCAAGAATAGCCAAGGCAGTTGTGAAGAAGGGAGGCTTCCCCTTTCTTGACTCGCAGACTTAGTGTAAAATTATAGTAACTAGAACAGTGTGACACTGCTACAGACACAGATCAGTAGATAATGGGACAAGATAAAAAGTGTGATACATGAGAAATTATAGATAAAGAGCATATTGCTTTCCTTTAATTGTTATAGCAAATTACTATAAGCTTGGTTGCTTAAAATAGCATGAGCTTGCTGCTGCTGCTGCTGCTAAGTTGCTTCAATCGTGTCTGACTCTGACGACCCCATAGACTTACTATCCCACATTTCTGGAGATCAGAAGTCCAGAGGTCTCACAGGCTGAAATCCAGGTCTTGGGGCTGTGTTCCTGCTATAGGCTGTGGGGGAGAATCTGTCTCCTTGCCTTTTCCAGCTCCCAGAGGCTAGCTGTACCTCCGGCCCCTGCTTCCATCTTCAGAGGCAGCAGAGTTACGTTTTATTTAATTTATTTATTTTTGATCATGTGGCATGCTAGATCTAGTTCCCTGACCAGGGATCAGACTGGTGTCCCCTGCACTGGGAGCTCTGAGTCTTAGCCACTGGAGTGCCAGGGAAGTCCCAGAGTTACATTTTAAGTCTCTCTTTGATTCTCCCTCCTGCCTCCTTTTCACTCATCAGGACTGTCATAGCAGCATTGCCTACTGCACCCCCCACCCCCTCCCTGACCATCAGTCTCTGCATTTCAAGGTCAGCTGATAAGCAACTTTAGTTCCATCTGCACCCTTGGTTCCCTTGGCAGTGTTAATACAACACAGTCATGGTTCTGGTAATTAGAATATGGACATTTTGGGTTGGGGGATTGCTGTTATGCCGCCCACCACGGGAATAAGGGCACACCAGTCAATTAACAGTATTGGACTGGCTGTCCTTGTGGAAAATAGAAAATCAGATTCCAATTTCATATTGTATACAAACCATACCTCAGACTGCAAGTAGGTCAGACACTGATGCTG